GGGGGTTCCGGGGGAGGGGTGCACCTCCCACCCCGGGCGGCCGCTTTTGTCACCCTCGGAGAATACGGCCATTGTATTTAAATCCGATAACAATGCCGGGCTGATTCAGAAAAGCTGCATGCCGGGCTGGAATGTGGTGGGAGCCGGGCTGCAGGAAGCACCCTTTCCTCTCCAGAACGCCGTCCCCGTCACCTACTGTTATTATTGTCATTATATGTTATTATGTTTATTAATTTTATCTGGTTTTTTTGGCTGACTTTCTCCTTTGTACCTTTTTTTTTTTTTTAGGATGAATCTCTTATTTTGTTTTTCATGTTTTATAATATTTAGTGATGTGGTTTTGTTTTTTTGTATCTGTTTTTGTTTTCTTTTTTCTTTGTTTATATTTATTTCCTTTCCGGTGCATTTTCTTGCTGCTTTTATTTCTGGTTGTTGGGTTCTTGCTGTGGACCTGGAGGGTGTTCAGGGGGGGGGTCATCTTGCACCCCGCCGGGCACGGAAAATAAACAATGAATCCAGTCCAGGTGACGAGTGTGGCAGGTCATGCTGGGACTTGCAGTCCCGCGGAGATCTGAGCCGTGTGACGCGGTCGCTCCGCTATTATTTTTCTGTTTAGACTTCGATTTGCCTGGCACCCCGATGCACTCGCTTGTTGCAGCGTCATAAAGCGCCGCGGTGTGCCGTAACGATCCGCATCGCATCGAACATTTTGTGCCCAATTTTAGATATTTTGTTATCGGCGGCCGAATATTTTCAGCGGGTTGTGTGAATGCGACGCACAAAATGAGGTATGTTGACACGCGTGTATTACTGCAGTGCGCACATGTAAACCGACCAATCACTTTTTGGTGCTGATTTGGCGTCTTTCATGGGAAACTATTTAAATTTTTTGGCTTTAACTTTTTTTTAAAAATGTATTTCCTGAAAATGCCGGCACATCGGAAACGTTCCTTCCGGCTCGCGTAATATTAGACAGCCGATCTTCCACCTCGCCGCCGCAGTCCTCATCCAACCGTGATCGCGCAATCTGATGTGTGTGTCTCAGAT